TCAGACTGTAATATATAAAAAGTTGTTAGGTAACTAAGCCCAGTGCGGTATAACAAACACAAATTGTGACCTTGGCAATTTTACTCATCAATCACGCTACCACTCACACGATGAACAGGAGCGCACACAACCTTCTTCGATTTTATTTAATATAAATTCATATAAAAAATATAATTTAATGAATCATCACTTCATTATTGTTTCATGCAAATTAAATTTGTTATTCTGTGAATAAAATCTATTTTATTGCGACATACGAAATGTAAACACATCATCACTAACACACACTTGACCGCCAGTATGGCGGATGCTCATTTGTGACGTAATGTGGAAATTCTCAGAGGATATGTTGATGATATTTTTATACACTCGAAAAGGAAATAACAGCTCTTATAACTGAGAAATTTAAATGATCTAGTCCGCAGTATTGAATATAATATAACATGTGCTGATGGTTGTCAGAAATCCGATTCATTTCAGTTATACCGCTGTCAGTGCCAAAAATGATGCGTACTATAGTAGGAATTATCTGATTAAAGTCGAGTGAGAGAGATGGAATGTGTCTTTTCTTGAAAATGGCATTGTGGCCACAATGTTCCATCTCGGTGTCATCTGTTTATTACAACAGTATTGCGAAAGAGATAAAAGTTGCAATATTCTGCATATTGCAGATCACTCAATATTTGTTTTCGTTATTTACAGATTGTAATTAAAGTCCGCAGATAATAAAGAGAAAAAAGTTTGAATAAAGATGGCGTATAAGAGAATGCTCACTGATTCATTTGGTTTGCAGATTAAAATCTGTGATAAATGCTACCGAAAATATTGGCACCAATATGGAAGAGATTTTCCATCCAAAAAGAGTATTGATCGTAGTTTCGTTAGCTCCTGGACACAGAAAGTGTGTCAGAAAGGTCTCGTATTGAGTGGCCAGTAAGTATTCCAGTGCATTTACTGAGATCAACAGAGTACAAAATATACACAAGAGAATACGACTTCCCCCATATGAAGAGGAATTTGTCGAGGTCTTACACTCGAGTGGCAAGCCTCAGTGCATGAGTTTGCATGTTGTACTTTACACTCATTTTTTGTGGCTAACACCTACCTAACAAGAGTTTTATTCTTTTAGGAAGAAACGTTTAAATTGTTATTTGCGGGCCATTCGTTATTTGAAGTTTAAATACCCTCAAGAAATTCGAAATTTTCAGGACTCAGAGTCTGTTGTAGACTCATATGCACGATAGGGTAATATGTTCATTTTTCTTTCATGAAAAGACCATCAAAGAAATTTGTATTATGAAAGTCTACAAAATTATGCAGTCACTATTAGAGGAGAAGATAAAGTGTAACTGTCCCAAGAAATGGCCCCAACGCTCTCGTTTTCAGACTTTTTCTTTTGGGAAGTTTGTAAACGATTATTTGACATTAAAACCCTCCGTGATAGAATAAGTAGTGATATCAAAGAAGTTACACTGGATACGTTAGCCAATACGTGGAATGAACTAGTTTTATGGACCACTAGAGGTGCACATGTTAAGATTGAATAAACAACCATGAAGTTGTAAATAAAAACTTGTTAGTTCAGTTATTGTAAAGATATACCTGCATTTTCATAGTTAATATTAGTGCAGATATGCTGAGAGTCTACTTTAATCCCGTGCAGCCTTTATAACCCAAGTGCAGTCCGGAGCCTTTAAACCCCATTAACTAACCATTACAGTCACCATATCAAACAACATTTATAATATATAATAATGGGCGAATAATATAAAAGTACTCGTTTAATTTGGATTCTAACATACTTATACAGCTCATCATTCTGATACTCTGTGACTCCTAACTTTGATTCTAGTTGAGTCATGTTAAATGACCGACATCTAACTGGTTCGCTATTATACAAAAATATTGGCAAGAGTGTCTAAACATATTAAACTTGTGCAATTATATTTCCAATTATAAATGCATTTTTTTCCGTTTACAAGTTTGATATAGAAATGGCAGTGTCGGCATTATTCCCGCTCTAAATATCGTCTGAGACGTCTTATTAATATTTGATTTTGAAGAAACTTCGAACTGATTTTGAAGATATTTTCTATTCTTCAAGGCTACTCTATTCTTCATTCTAACATTTTCTTTTCAAATATTAAACCGTCTATAACAAAAAACTTGCTTAAAAGCCAAGATATTAATATTTCTTATTTTCGAAATAAAAGTGACATTTCGCGTGATTCTAACATAATTAACATTCATGTTAATTAACCAGCTAACAGGGGAATTTTCCAGAAATACCAGTAATGCAGTTCACGACTCATTGTAGTAGTACACCAACCGTAGTAAGTTACGTTTAATCAATCGAGAGAACATTATCCACTGCATGTAAGTTCTCAGTATAATCCCATCATACTTTATGAAAAAAGTATTCCTCTGTTTATAAGTTTTATGAAGAAGCATAAATATTATACTAGGTTACACCGGTAAGTCAGTGGAAGACGTAGCCTAAATAATCCAAAGAGATGCTTCTCCATTTCTCCTGATTTAGTAAATATCACCCCACCGCATCTCAATAAAAAGTGAATGACTGACAACGAATTCGTCACTGACTTGAAAAAATGAAGTCCAACTTTTTTAAGGTTTACAGCAAAGATTTGGGATATCTTCGGGTTACGAAATAATGCAGCAAATATAGTTTCCCAGTCTGCATTTTCCTAAATTAACTGACCAGTCAATCTGCTGAGTAGTGAAGGTAGAAGCGGTGCAGAAGTAAAGAATTACAAAAATATATTTAACATTCAGAGTTGCAACAATATATTCTTCAGGGTGTAAGTGATGGAGAAAATAGTCGTGCTGGATCATGGAAATGAAGATAGATATGTAAATAAAATAAAATAAAAAAAAGGATATGCGTGAGAATATAAAGGCACATTAGCCAAAAGTAGAATTTGTTATTACAAAGTCTCTGATGCATTAGCTGCCCCCCCCCCCCCAAAAAAAAAAAAACATTAACTTATAACAAGAATATTCATATGAAAATACGACCTTTCTTTATGAAGACGTTCAGACCTGAGCAGGAACCACCTCCTGTATCGTTTATGATACTCTAGCCTACCCCAGACACACCACACAGTGTCTCTGCCACACGGTGTTAGTACCTCACTACACAGTGTGTAAGTACTTCACTATACAGTGTTTAAGCACTTCGCTATGACAGTATTTAAGTACTTACACAACGTCTCAGTATTTCACTATATAGTGTGTTAGCACCTAGGTACAGAGTGTCTTAGTACTTAGCTTCACAGTGTGTAAGTACCCCAACAACGACACTACACTGTGTGTTCGCTCTTAAACAAGAAGACCGTCAAAGGTGACACTGTAACCAAAAGTTAGTCTCACGCTTGTCCATGAGAGCCCTGAGAGTTTTCTAGTCGGCTCTTTCTTATGATGAGCTCTCCTTTCATAGAGAGCTATTATTTGTAAATACTTCTTTGTGGCTCCAGTAATATACAGAGATTATCGGCTATTACGTTAGGCTCTTTCACAGTGCTTAAGTTGTAGATGATTCAAATCACCTAGGAATATCCTGTCTATTGAAACTAAAGTTATTTGACTCACTAAATTAGTCTAGACCCAACTTTAAGATTGACAGTGTCACTCTTGGCTGTCGCGAAGAAGCAATCTCTTGGAAATGTGAGGCCGATAATAAAGACTAATATTAAGGAAACAGTAATTCATGATGTTGTTTCTTCTCTTGGTTGAGTTTGTGAGAATATTAATTAATAGTTTTCGATGCAAATCAATTGTAATTGATATTGCCAATAAGGTGTCAACTATTTCGGACAGATCCAAATAATATACTTCTGATAATACAAGTTGCAGAAAGAGTTTTATAGTTTTATTTGGACAACTCGATAAAGCTCTAAATAGAGCCGAAATTTTTCCAAGTTAAAACTTATGCAAGTTTTATTTTTTCTTCGGCAATTTGGGCTGTAATGTTCTGTGATTATGGTGATATATTCACCCAGAAGATGAGTGGCGCCGCCCAATACACGCTTCTATGGAGGCTAAGTCTTTAAAATATATAGAATAATCGGCAACAACTGCCCTCGTTAATTTCCAAAGATTGCACCTACGCCTATAATTTAGAGGAGTAAATATAGCATACGAGCGGAAGACAGATCATGCTAGGGTAGGCAGGGGTCGCGGGAGGAGGACGGGATGGGGGTAGGGACACATGCTGGACAGGGTGACAAAAACATGCTTGCGGCTATCTAGCCTACAACATAGCCCCCTGCTACCCCACCTAATGTAAGACTCGTTATTTTATCCTATTATTTTTCTTTGTTACCTTTTCTATTTATTCCATTTGTTAGTGATTTATTCTTTTTTCAATCTGGTTTTTATTTAAACAAATTGTCAATAAAATTTTGGAAGCTAGAAATATTGAATACCTTAATAAACACTAAAATATTTCGAAAGACAGGTGATAGGATGCTCAGACTTGGAACTTGTGTCATTGCAGGAAACAAGAGATATTATGGCTACATTAACTCTTATACTTAATATGCAAGTAACTATAAAATTTCTGTTGAAATGCATTCATGAAAGATAAAACTTACTCAAATTTTTCCTTATTTAACTAGTGGGAGACATGTTGAAATTAATTAAATGGTACAGTGGCATCTTTGAAGGTATGACAAATTTAGCTTACAGTCACATCTTACAAAGATTTTCTTAAATGTTTTTAAAATACTGAAGACATTTTTAAGATCCCCTGATCCATCTCCAAGAGTTCGGAAGTATAAACATCCCTTTCACTTATCATAATAAATCTACTAACCATCGTTAGCATCTAACTAACCATTATTAGCGTCTAACTAACCATTGTCAGAGTCCACTAACCCTTGCGAGCGGCAGCAGGCGAGCTGACATCATGCTTGCTGGTCATTAGAGGTGAGGGAGTCAGTGGTGGGTGGTAACGGGAAGCGGGAGGCGTGATAACTTACTGTACAACTTACTGAAGGCCGTATAGAACTCGTTAAGATTGAGATGACCGTCGGTGTTGGCGTCGTCGTATCGTAGCATGTCGACCAGCGAGCAGTCCTCCGCCAGGCGACTCACCTCCTCCAGTTGCGACACCTGCAACGACACTCTCGTTAATACTTCCTCAACTAGGACAGCTGTAACGACACTCTCGTTAATACCTTCTCCAGCTGCTACATCTGCGGCTACACTTTAATACCTTCTCCAGCTGCGATACCTGCAAAGATACTCTCATTAATACTTTCTCCAACAACGACAGCTGTACTGTACCATGAAAGACAATATTGTGCTGTATTCACGGATGACAAATCTGCTGTCTTGTTTTGCTTATTCATTTACTTATGTATGCTGCAATTTGGTTTAACATGCTCTATCAGTAAGGCATGAATCGTAAGTGTCACCAATATCAATATCAAACAGGCTTATGCTAACGGCGATTTGGGTGAATAATTTCTAGATGCACTTGACATCGTGTCCCTTCGTCAAACGGATCCGGCATCATTGATTAGCAGAATTAACATTACGACATTCTCATTAAATCACTTAAAGTAAATCATTCTGTATCGTATACTGTATATGAAACATTTAAAAAAAAAGTGAACTGAATATACTTATTTCAGTTATATTCATAACATTGTATTAAACCGGCAGCTAAATAACATTTTGAGACCTATAACAGTGTTGGGATCGTAATTAAGAATCCCCGAAGATGGATTCCCGACTGATTTTTTCATTCTTTTTGTCCTACTCTAATTTTCTGTTTTTATTTCACTTATAACACACGCAAGGCTCGTTCAGTGGGCTTCAAATTTTCAACGTTGGTGTATTGTAACCAGGAGAAGGTTTTAGGAACACTTGTCACGTGTAGGTGTTCTATGACAAAAGTTGTTGAACCTATTCCAAGTACACTGGAATGGTTCTGATAACTTCTAAGGTTCACTGTGAGGAAGCATCAAACGTCCAAGAAAGGTGCCTCCTAATTCAATGAAAGCGGAGAGTAAAATTTAAGTGTGTTGAGGACACATCTGCCAGTTTTATGTGTGGAAAATAGTGTGACATTTGCATTCTAGTTATTATTTAATGGACATATATATATGGAATATTTTGGATACCCGAGAGGGTTATAATATATCAATTTTTTTTTTTGCATTCTAGTTAAATCAGGTTAAATGTACTTGAAGCTACCTCTTATGATTGGCTTCAGAATTTAACGGCGGATAAAGGGAAAATCTGTTAATTCCCTATTTTTTTATGAAACTTCAATTCAGTGGAATGAGCACGGTACCTGGAGAATGCCTCTACATATCAGCTTCAAATTTTAAGCCCTGGCGTGTTTTCCAGAAAATAGTGTTCGCTTTATTATTAGGTTTCATTTGTTCTAATTTCCAATATTATTTACTATATAGTGATAAGAGCATAAGAACATAAAAAACACTGCAGCAGGCGTACTGGCCAAATAAAGGGAGGTCCAAGCCCCCTACTGGCCTAAGCCAATGGTCCAAGCTTGTCAGGTCCCAGTCACATTCAATCAAGAAGGAAGGGGCATTGCATCATACCAATTAGCACAAGCTAGTCAGGTCCAACTCATACCCTCTCATGTATTTATCTATTTTTAAAATTACACAACGTTTTAGCTTCAATGACGCTACTCGGGATTTGTTCCACCCATCCACCACTATATTACCAAACCTATATCTTTTCTGAATTCAAATTTTTCCAACTTAAAACCATTGCTGCGAGTCCTGTCTTGGCTAGGTAATTTTAGCACGTTATTCACATTCCCTTTATTTATTCTTGTTTTCCATTTATACGTCTCAGTCATATGTTCCCTAATTCTACGCCTTTCCAGAGAGTGCAGATTCAGGGCCCTCAGTCTGTCCTCGTAAGAAAGATTTCTGATACATGAGATCAACTTTGTCATCCTCTTTTGTACGTTTTCAAGCGCATTTATTTCCGATCTTACATAACGGATGTAAATGCGGTGACCAGAACTGAGCAGCATAGTCTAAATGAGGCCTAACCAACGATATATAGAGTTGAAGAATAACCTGAGGACTCCTGGTATTTATACTTCGTGATATGAAGCCAGGAATTCCATTTGCTTTATTTTGAATACTTACGCACTGCTGTCTCGGCTTTAGATTACCCCTAGCTAGATAGTGATCTCCATTTTATAACTAGAGAATGTTTTGTCTAATCGGCTTCAAGGTATTATCGCTGTTACATTGCATGAGATGGGTGACACCCTATAACTTCAGACTTTTTAGGTGCAAAATTAAAATTTTAATGAAATTGCTACAAAAACTTGGAATCGTTGAATTCAGATCAGTTACTGGAGAATGACTTTTCTGATAAGTTTCAAACTTTCAATGTTGAGCGACTTTTTTATTGGAAAGCTTGGCTTTCACTGCCAGCTCTGTAAATTTTAAATTGCCAATTTAATTACGTAAATTAGTTTACATGTATTTTAGTTGCACAAGTTTGAAAGTATTGCATAAGTTTAAATTTGTTCATGTGAAATAAATGGAAAATATTTGTTCTGATCAGAAATGTTGTCACACTTAATTGGTTTATCCCAGATTAAATCTGTTCAGTATCTGGTCATAACATGTGTCCCCTCAACACGAGGGAACACATCAACACTGGCCAGTTTGCCATTTGTATTGCAAAAACTGCGATTCTGTTTTCAATGTGAAGAATGACACTTGTGCAGTATTGGAGAATCTTTACTGAGGAATCGTTTCGCCAGTTAGTGGCTTCTTCAGTCTAATGCGGAGAATAACAAAGGAAGACGAGGAGGAGTATGAGGTAACCAGACCCTCAACCTGGAGTCGATGTGTTCAGTCTACCAATCTTGAGAGGCGGCTTGTTTACTGCAGTCAGGTGAGTAGAAGAAGGAAATGGCGGAGTTACTACTGGACAAATCTGCTAGCGTAAGTCATGCCTGTAGGTCAGGCAAGCGTTGAGAAAATTCCTGTATCAAGATCCCAACATTCCCAAATGTTGAACAAGTGTCTCATTTTTCAACTTGTCGATTTTGTATATTATTTTCATCACATCTATGTGGTGACTTATGAATGCCTATTTTGATTAGATAAAATCTATAAGATTAATGTTTAAATGCATTAGAAACTTACGCTATACCCTGCACAGCTCTCATCACGTGCACTGAGAAACATGGGGTAGGGGATATTCAATGCTAGGATACCTTTCTCAAGTAGCACAGCGACCGATATACATCTAATTGAGATTACGATCCCGACAATGAAGACATCGGTTTTATATAGATAACTGCCCATGGGAACCTACAACGCAATTAAGCTAATTTAAAAGATTCCAGAGTTTCAGGTCAAATGGCGGAGACAAAGTGAATCTGTCGGAAGTATCATTCATCAAGGTTAATGGATCGCGAGGAATGAGTTGATTTAGGTGGGGAGACGTAGCCCAACTGCCCGTCTCATCCAGACTAAGGAATAATACGCCGCCTCTTAAGAGAGGCCAATGATTATTTAATCCTTACTGCTCAGTTAGTCGGAAAATGCTCAAAGGCTTATACATGTTGGACTTAACTTCATCAAGCTGCAGTTATTTTACATCTTTATGTAAGAGTCTCAGTGTATGTCTCTCTCTCTCTCTCTCTCTCTCTCTCGCTTGGTACAGAGGATATCTTCTACAACCTGTCTATTAATCTCTCGCCCTGCTCTTGGGCATGACCAACTTCCTAGCGGTCCGCCCACAGTGACAATGTTTTCATCTACTGTACCTCATCTTACTCCTATTATAAACTATCATTTTCCTACTATGCATCCTCATCATTCTTTTAACTTCTTTATTCTCTACCTATACATTTTATAATCGCCTCAAAAGCTTATTTTTTTTCTTTACAGCCATCTTAACCGCATCAGTCCACCAAACATTCCAAAGCCACCAAAATCCCAGCTCTTCTATACTCTTAAACTTCTGCTGCTCACTCTAGCATTGAATTCTTTAATTTACTCTATAATTCTTGTACCTCCTCGTAATTACCTGTTCTCTCTCTAGCTAACCTTTCTCCCTAAGGAGCTTAAGTGATCTTCATACTGACTTCTTGTTTAGTTCATTCATTGGCACCTTTTCTCTTACCACTGCTGCTATTCTCCTTTTACTCCGACTATCTCTCACGCTCAGTGGCCACCATTTAGTAATGATCTGACCTATCTCTTGACCTTTAAAAACATGCATATTCAGAGGTCTACAAATCAGTCTTTTATCTATTGACACACAGTTTAGCGAATTGCTGACATTGCGCCCTATATACGATTTTAAATATTTATTTCATGTTTCCTCACAATAATTATTACCTATTAATGAATCCCTTTCCATACATAGTTCATTTACAAGGCCCTCAGTATCATTTATCACTGGCACTCTAGCCTTAACTACTTCGTCATCTACATATACAGCACTAAGGCCCCTCATAACAATTTTTCTCTCACTTGGTTCAAACTCTTTCAACATAACCCCTTCCAAAATCTCTCTCACTCCTCTACACCCCTCTTACCACTAGATTTATAAACACTTACTATAGTCAATTTTCCACATCTCGTCTTTATTCTAATCCACATTATTCTTGAATCTGAAGACTTGAACCACCCTATTAGTCTGCAAAGTTGATCATTTGTGATCACTTGTAGTAAATAAAGATATTATTTAATGTTTCTACTACTTATTTAGTTTTAATTACTCATGGAGACACAACACAGAGACGGCAAGTGGTGAATAAAAGACAGTTACATGGAGAAAAAAATATTGAGATATTTCGCCAATGGACGAGCTTCTTCAGTCAATACACATGTAAGAAGAACAAGCAAAAATATGTAAGTGTAGTCTTGTGAGTGTTTGGGTCAGTGAGGTCACTGCGTGACATGAACTGTGAGATGGCAGCTTGACAGGAGGCCTATTGGTCCTTCCCATGACCTATTAATGTAAGGTATGTTTGGAACCATATTTGACTAAACTAAAAGCTTGCCGATTCTGTTGGATAATATGTGCATTTGAATTAGGTAAGCTTCTTGTCATCTGTGTCCTGTTTCTCCGTTTCCTTCGTGATTTACTGT